GCTAGCTACGTCACAGGGGGAGAGCTGCGGTTGGCTAGGGGGACCATGTCCAGTGCTAGCTACGTCACAGGGGGAGAGCTGCGGTTGGCTAGGGGGACCATGTCCAGTGCTAGCTACGTCACAGGGGGAGAGCTGTGGTTGGCTAGGGGGGGACCATGTCCAGTGCTAGCTACATCACAGGGGGAGAGCTGCGGTTGGCTAGGGGGGACCATGTCCAGTGCTAGCTACGTCACAGGGGGAGAGCTGCGGTTGGCTGGGGGGGACCATGTCCAGTGCTAGCTACGTCACAGGGGGAGAGCTGCGCTGCATAAGGAGCTGCACAGTTCAGAATAGCTGCGAGAAAGGATTCTGAATGTTCACAGCCAGGATAATTAGAAGGGATGGATATGCAGATTAGCTGAACTGAACTCTACACACTGTGTCCGAAATGCTGACATGTCACAGTGGACCTCCTGCATATTTATAGCCATTTGTGTTACACAAAAATAAGTGACACTTAGAAAATGATACTTATATCTTGCTACAAAACCAAGACTGTGCTTCATGAAGCAGGCCACTGTCACTGACTGAAAAGCCCCTATCTGGATCCTTCTGTTGAACAGGAAGGATGAGGGAATGAGCGATGATGGGCTTACACCCCGGGCTTGTTTCCTTCTCTAAATGCTAAAGAAATCAAACAAAATAAAAACCCAGACACCCCCAAACAAACCAACAACAACAAAAACACTAGCAATTAGGGTGAGAAACCTGGTCAGAAGGGGAGGCTAGTCCCAGAAGGAGTGGAATGCTTTTGCTGCAGTAAGGTATTGTGAAGAACACTAATAAGAGAGGCATTCAAAGGTAGTCAGACTCTAAAAGATCTGGGCTCCTGGCCAGAGGTAAAATTTAAAAAAAAAAAATCAGACAGGGGCTAGAGAGCTGGCGTAGCAGTTAAGAGCATTAACTGCTTTTGCAGACCCAAGTTCGGTTCCCAACAACCATGTTGGGCCGCTTACCATTTCCTGTAACTCCAGCCCAAGGGTACTTGATGCCTCCGGCCTCCTTAGACACTCACATGCTCATTCTCTCTCACACACAAACACATAATTAAACCACTGAGACAAATGAATAAAGAAGGGGTCGGAATAATTCTAAACATAGAGTGGGCAAGGCTGTTGGACCTGAGGGGGAAAAGTCTTTGCAACTTAAGACTAGGTAAAGATTTCTTAGCTAGAATCCCCCATTCACATACTGTAAAATGATGAGGTAATAAACTGGACTCTGGCAAAATACAAAACCAGTGCTCCTCAAAAGGCATTGCCAAAAATCCAAAGAGGCAAAGTCACCAAGTAGAGAAGCAACACACACATGATCCAAGTCTTGCGATGAGGATACAGACAGAATTCTCAAAATTTAATAATGAAAAGGCACAAATACAACCTTTAAAAACGGGCAAAGACTTGGACAGAACACACAGGATGAGAGGAGAATGGCCAATACGCACGTGAAAAGATACTTGGTATTAGATTCTGGGAAATGAGAGCAGCAAGGTCAATGAGACTCATCTCCATGACCATTAGAATCATGGCCAAGATCATTAGTGAGATGGCCACCACCAAGGCCTCTGAGGGCACAGAACAATGGGACCCTCAGGGAGACTTGGCGATAATGTGAGATCCCCCTTGGTGTGGCTGTTAAAGGAACATTTACAGTGTGAGTGCCCCAGTGAAAAGTTAAAACTCAGCCAGGCTTGACAGGACAAGCCTGCAGACCTGCCTCCGCTATCAAGGGAGTTCAAGGGCAACTTAGTGAGACTCTGTCTCAATAAAAACTAACAGAAAAACCAAAGCAAAAGTGGGTTGGGGTTGTAGCTCAGCTATCCTGTCTCCATCCCCACAGCACTCGGGTGAAGGGTGTAACCATGTTCTACTTTATTATGTGGGTGCCGGGGATCCGAACTCGGGTCCTCATGTGTTTATAGTCACTGCTCTCATCCACCCAACCACCTTGCCAGTCCTCCCCATATATTTTTAAAAATGAATCCTTAGAAAATGTCACACACATCGCTTCTCGGCCTTTTGGCTAAGATCAAGTGTAGAAAATGTCACACATTTATATTATATCTTGATCCTATCCATCCTCCCTCCCCACTCTGGCCTCCCTCGGGACCCCTGATCACACCCCCCTTCCAATGTCATAGGCTCCTTTCATAAGCACTTATTTATTATGTGTTAACCCAGTGAGTCCAGTTAGTGCTGCCCACACACACGGGCATGGAGTCATCCATCCACTGGGGCACGGGGAACCAACCAATGGCCACACTCCTAAAGAAACACGACTCTTACTACCCCAGTAACTGGCAACTGCTCCTTCACGAGGGGCGAGGCCTCAAGAACCCTCCAGAGTCAATGGCGGAACTTTAAACTAGCTGCATCCCTCATCGTTTCTTAGTAACTTTCAACAGAGAACCACCTGGATGAGAAAAGTCAGAAGAGGGCAGCAAGTTAAAATGACACCATTGTGGGGTGATCAGAACACCCCAGGAACCACAGGGAGCAGCAGTCTGGGGGCAGGTGGGTGGGGAGAGCAGGGTCTTGGCACCCACCTCCACAAAGGCAAACTTCTCCTCGCTGGTGTAGTTGTAGCGCGTGGCTCGCTCGTACTCTTCGGCTGTTCCCGGGCAGTCCTTATTGCAGAACTTGTCTGTGGGGTGAACCAGCTTCCAAGAGTACTGGGGAGAGAAGAACCAGCCAATGCCCGTCAAGTGAAGAATGGTAAGCAACATGAGGTGATAGACGTGGGTTTTTAAAAGATGATTTTAAGGTCTATCTTTAATGATGCTTATGTGCATATGCATCTGTTTGTGGGGATGTGCATGTCAGTGTGAGTGCTCACGGAAGCCAGAGGCACCAGGGCACTTGTGCTGGAGTCACAAGAGGCTGTGAGCCACCTAATATGAGTGCTGGGTCCTAGCCATCCCAGGTGTGGTTTTATTTTATTTTTTTTTTAAAGTGATGAAAATATTCTTAATTCAAGGTCACATAGTTCCATGAATATACTTAAAAAATGTAGGTTTCAGTTGGGTATGAGGTGTGGTCTATGAATTAATGTTGAAAGGCAGATGCCATGTGAACTAGGTCAGTGTGAGGGCTGGCACCTCAGGACACCTACCACCTCCATGACATGGGCACTCCACTTGGATAGAAGCTGCAGGCCTCGAAGGGCCAGGTCAAAAAGCTCTCGGTACTCTTCATCTGACTTCTGGCTGTCCAGCCCTGAGCCTGTCACCACCTGAGGGACACAGAATTTCATATTCACTTCACGGTCCATGTGTCTGGGGCTCTTGAGCATTGCTCCTCAAATTCCCCTGTAAAAACTGTGCAACTGTTATGCTCCCTTTGCTAGGTCGACTTGGCTTTGACAGTCGTCTTGCTGAGGGCCCCCTGTCTTGTAAGTGGCTGAGGGTTCTGATTCAGGAGGTGTCATTTTCGAGCCCTGCTTAGCCTCACCCTACAGTCTTACAGCCAAGGCTGTATTCACAATAGGAAGTGCAGGCTAGTCAGTGACCCAAGATCTCTCCTTTGCAGTGATATTAAATACAGGTATGTATGCAAGCAGTGACTGTCACACAACACTGTGACTTCATAGGACTCCTTCTAGTTTCATGGTCTACTTTATGTACAGTGCTAATCACAAATCACTAAAATGATGTCGCAGCTCATTGACTAGCTACAATGCAATGATTAAAAAGATCTGACACAAATGTCTATATGTGTAATCCTCCATCCACACCATAAGGATGGATGTATCCACATGATACACACACACACACACACACACACACACACACACACACACACACACACACATATATATCACATGAATATGTATAGGTAGTCACTAATGATGGACACTATCATTGTAAATCTGTTTTATCACTACTGTCTAGCTGTAATTTCCCAAATTAACCCTTGTAGCAAGGTTTCCATCCCCTGAAGACTCCTGCTTGTCTCCAGCTGAGTAGAGGCTTCTGCCTTTTTGGTTCAGCTCTCATATTGCAAGGCGACATCTTCTCTGTAGCCTAAACAACATCAGGATGCCCACATTTTTGTTCTTTTAATTAACCATTTCAAACAGAACCGATGTGCTAGGCCAGTGGTTCTCAACCTTCCCAATGCTGTGACCCTGTAATACAGTTCCTCATGTGGTGACCCCCTACCATAAAATTATTTTTTCTTGCTACTTCATAAATACAGTTTTGCTACTGTTAGGTATTGTAATTTAAATATCTGTTCTCTGATGGTTTTTGGTGACCCCTGTGAAAGGACTGTTTGACCTCTAGAGGGGTCGTGACCCACAGGCTGAGAATCACTGTCCTATGCAGTGTTACACTACCCGCAGGAACCCTGGGGCAGACATGTCTAGAAACACGTCATTCAAACAGAAGTCATGGTGCTGTTGACCCTCAGCTAATGTCAATGAATCAACAAAAAAATGTCACAAAGGTATCTTTAGATAGAAATGGAGATAAAACCAGATTCTGTGCTGATAAAAATGCTGTGGCAAGAGGCTCACAAGAATTCTGAATTTCTTTGTGGGCAATGGCTCACAATTTTTGAATTCAGGGTTTATGGCATTTTGTAGAATGTTACTAGTGAAAGTCATGAAAACTGATAACATGTTATCATGTTATCATGTTAGCATGTCCATTTGGCCCTATGTGTCTGAGGTAGTCTGCATCCAACAAGTTCAAGCAATGGTAGATGGGAAATATTGGGGGAAAATGCTGTATCTATATATGATCTTGATATTATCCCCTAAATACAGCAAAACAACTATTTATGATGTGATGGTTAGTTTTCATTGTCAACTTGGCACAACCTAGAGTCACCTTAGGAGGGTGTCTCAATGGGAGATTGTCTACATTGCGTCAGTTTTGTAGGTATGTCCATGGGGATCATCTTAATTAAGTTAATGGATATGGGAAGGTCCAGCCTACACTGGGCAGCACCATTCCCTGATCAGGAGGTAATGAATTGTGTATTAGAGATTGAGCTGAGCATAAGCAAGCACGCCAGAGAGCAAGCATGCATTCATTTCTTTCTCCTCTTAACTGTGGGTGTGATGTGAATAGCTGTCTCAAGCTCTTACCTCTGTGGCTTCCTCAAAGTGATGGGCTATGACCTGGAATTGTGAACTGAAATAAAATCTTTATTCTTTAAGTCGCCTTTTCTCAAGAGTATTTTATCATAGTAACAGAGATGAAACTAGGTTATATGACATTTGCACATTGTATTAGGTCTTATAAAAATAGAGACAATTTATAATATATTCAAGTATGCAAATAGGTTATATGAAAAAAAATGACTTTCACAAGGGACTGGAGCATCTGTAGACTCTGGTGTTAGTAGTATATCCTGTAGCAATCACACATGAATACCAAGAGGTAATTTAATAAAAAATTATCTTTGGCCAGAATTAGTCTCAGATGGCACAGACACGTGACCAGGAATTCCAGCCTCAGGATTCAGGATTCATAAGCAGGATTCTCCTGCTTATGTCAGTTGACCAGCACATTTGCTAAGAAAGCTACAGGTTTGGACTCGACCTGGTCCTTGTGGGCTCCGAGGCTACTGACCACACTGCCTGTATTTGTCAGACTGACCCTATTTCAAATGAGCTAGGTTATGATCACCGGTACTTCCTGAGCTGGGGTTTGGGAAAAGATGATCACTATGGCCATTGGCCACACGGTGGAGCCAGTAAGCAAATGTGGCTTCTTCCACAATGTGGGAGCGCAGATTCAGGACCCATGGAGGCTTAAACAGCACATCTTATGTATCTGTGAGAAAGGTATCTATGGGAAGGGACCCACAAAGATATATGACCATAAAAGTTAGTTCTGAGATGGTACGAGTCTCTGGGATTGTTTTTCTCTCCTTTTGCATATCTAATTTCTTCTTAGGCCTGTGAACAGATCACGCTCTTCTATTTAAAAAATTCAAATCACAACCATTGATATCATGAGAGATCTTTATGGTGCACACACATGCGGACCACCGTGGGTGTCAGTTTCTCCGAGACAGGCTCTCTTGGCTGTCTGCCATTGCATTCACCAGGTAGTTGGTCCACAAGCTTCCTGTTTTGCTGTAGATGCTCTGGTATTGCAGACAGACACGTGCTGTGGAACCACTCCTGGCTTTATGTGAGTTCTGGGAATCCGAATTCAATTGTTCTTCATGCTTGCACAACATGTGTGTTCCCCGCACTGAGCCGCCTCCCCAGCCCTTTGTGGCTTTTTTCTTCTCTGATTCCATTTATGATATTTTTGAAATGACCATATATTTCTGTATAGTTATGCATATTGAGATGGTGTTAGGAGCAGGAGTGTTCAGAACTGTGTCTCATGGTGGAGATGGGATGAATCTTGTGCAGCTGGAATAAACAGTTACTGGGCCTTTACTGTATCCAAGACACAACACACATGCTAGGTACCTTATTGGTTATCTCAGTGAACCTTTCAAAGTAAATCCTATCATTACCTCTATTTAAAACATGTCTGGATTCTTTTTAATTTGACACCACAACTGTAGATATCTATGGCACACAGTGTGAAGATTCAACACATGTATACAACATGTGAAGAACAGATGTGCCCATCTGTCACCTCTGATGTCATTTCTTCATGTCGAGAACCATGATTATCAACAACCGTTGTCAGTCTACTGTGTGACAGAACACTGTAAGCTATTCCTCCTACTTGGCTAGTTTAAACCTGTATTTTTCTTAAATATTTGCTATTTAGTAAAAGTAGAGATACCCCAAGGAACAGGAAGGAAGGAAACTATTTCTCTTACCTGACTGTACCTCTGTGCCTGCTAACAATCCTCTCTCCATCACCGACTCCCTGCCACTCCCGTCCTCCTCAGGCACTGTTAGCATTCCATCCATTTTGCAGATGAAGGGATGGAGACCCAGAGTCCAAGTCTGACTCTGAACTGCTTCCAGCAAGCCCACCCCGCCCCTCTGGCCATGTGCTCCCCCTATCCCACATTGCCTGCTCTTCCTCGGCCTTCTTGTACTCTGCTGGCCCTGGAGCAGCCACGGAACTCACCTCACTGTTGCTGTAGCGAGCCAGCTCAGAGATGAAACGGATGTGGTCATCCCGGATCTGAACCATCTGCTCGCAGATGTTGTACTGGGGGCTGATGCTGCTCTGAGTGCATGTCCATCTGGGGAGAAAACCACAGGATTTGGGTGGGTCCCAGCTCCAGGCACCTGCGTGGGATAGGCTCCTTCTGCACACTAGCTGTTCCTGGTCCTCAGACAACATAGTTGGCTCCCCTGGGTGGAACCAAAAGGTCAAGTGGCCGTCTAAGTCCCAGAGCCATCTCTGTAGGCACCATGACTAGAAAGGAGAGTCCGGCCTCTGCCTTCTCCAGATCCTTCCACAGGTGTCTCTGGACACTAGTGTACAATACTTACCAGTTAAGTGAGAGAGTGAGGCCCCAGACCATAGCCTCTCTATGGCCACAAAAGGCTAGAATCACAGTCCAGCAAAACTGGGACAGGCAACTTCCCTGCCTTTCCCAAAAAGACCTGGTGACATGATGGTACCCATGCTGAGAGACGTCCTATCATTCTGAGAGGCGTGGCTGGTGTCTCCTCCCCACCTCTTCTTCCTTCCTTTTCTCTTCCCATTCTCCTCCCTCCTCTCCTGTCTTCTGTCTCTTCCATCCTTTTGAAAGACACCATTAGGAAAACCTTCCTGAATTGGAGAGGATATAAGTGAACAAAAGCCCTCACACTCTGCACCTCTCCCTCTGTCCAGAACTAGCGGCTCAGTAGACGGACCAAGAGAATGGGAAGCCAGCAGGCAGGTGAAGGGTTTGGACAGAACTTAGACTCAAAAGAAGATGCAAAGGGATTCTCAGAAGGAGTATGAGTGGTGACGCCCTCCTCTGACTTAGACTGCTGGTTTTTCCTTTTGAGCTACTTGTAGAGGAGACACAGTCACTCTGACCTCTTACTTTCTGCCTGGTTACAAGCTAATATCTGGACCAACAAGCCTCTCCCTCTAAGACTGCCAGACATGGTCTGAATTCCCCCCAAGGACTACCTAGGTCTCCAGGTAGATGTAGGTTGTAGGTCGAGGGCCCCTCTGCAGGTATCCTAGGTTTTTTTTGAGACAAGGTTCTAATGTAGCTGAGGCTGTTGAACTCCTGACCCTCCTGCCTCCACTTCCCAACTGCTGGGATCCCAGGTGTTTGTACCATCCACGGGCTCTGCTGGTATCATTTTAATCCCAGCTACTAAGAGTGGCCGAGGTAAGAGGATCACAAATTCAAGGTATCCCTGGGCTCCAGATTGAGTTCAACTTAATGAGACCCTAACTCCAAATGAAAGGTAGAAGGAGAAGGGGGGCTGCAGCTCAGTGGTAAGGTGCTTGCCCAGCATGTGCAAGACCTCCAGTTCAGTCGCCCACACTGCAAAACTAAGAAAGGCACTGACCAAAGGGTGGCCAGCTCCGATCCACACCGACAGTCCACAGTCTCTTAGCTGCAGGTAATACGCATGTAGATAGACCATCTTATAATATCTTCTGTGATCAGAAGGACCGAGGCTGGAGCCAGATAACTACTGCCACCCTCCCTCCCCCCCCAAAAAATCCCTTCTGGGAGCCACTGACTCACTCCCAGGCCTTCGCATAGATTTCCTAGAACTATGATTTATTAGATGACACAGGGGGAGGCTGCCAACCCCCTGTCACAGCTGGAACCATCCAGGCCACACCGCTAACCACGTACTTACTGCAAGCCACAAAACCTGAACCAGGGTGATGACTGTCACCGTCAGTAGACTCCTGCTGTCCCACTGAGGGGAGGGGGTTACCGCAGAGCAGGTCAAGGGGCGTGGCTATGCTCTGAGCCCTTTAGAGCCTGGCAGCAAAGGGCTGGTGCAAAAGGGCTCAGAGCACCCTCGCTCTTCCCCTCCTGGTACTGCTGTTCTGCGGGAATCCACCTGCCCAGGGCTCTGGGGAGGGAGGAGGGACTGAAGTGGTCCCTCCGCTCCCTGCCCGGGCTGGGCATCCTCACAGGAGCCGAGAGACATTACGGCAGGCACTCACTTGGACTTGTTTTCTTCATAGTGAGCACTGGTCTTAATGTATCTGGCCAGCTCTATCTGCATGTCGCCGAAAAGGGGTACCACCTGCAGCTGCTGCAAAGGAAGCAAACAGAGCACGTGAGATGCCACAGGCAGGGCCCGGGGCTGACGTACCAGTGGGGTGTAAGGCTTCGGTGTGCACCTGGGGTCAGTCGCTGTGTTTGTTTATAAGGGGGTTGCCACAGGGTCTTGGCATCCAGAGGAAAAGCCCAGCCAGCAGCATACAGGGCCTTTCCCCTGTCTCCAACCAACTGTATACTTCAAGCAATTGATGCCTGAAGAGCAAAGTGGCTTGTCCCAGGTCACACAGGATAGATGAAGCAGAGGACCAGATGGCTGGCTTCCCGGTACAGGGTCATTTCTACAGCTCAGAAGACATCTACTGCTCCAAACTGGACTAGGTGGCAGAGGGCTGCTGCCTGGAGGTGGCCTTCCTGAGACCTAACATTGAAGTGCAGACATCTCCTGACCAAAGCCCAAGACATGTGGAAAGGGAGGTTGCTGTTGACCTCCATCTATCTTTCCTGCACTGGACACAGGACCAGGCACTTTACAAACACTATCTCAGCCGAGCCTGGCGGCATAGGTCTATACTCCCCACTCTTCATGACACAAAGGCAAGAGGATCCTAAGTTCTCAGACTTCCCAGGCAACACAGTGAGACTCTACCTTTACAAAGTGAAACGGAAAAGTTGGAGTAGAACTAGTAATAGAAGACCTATTTAGCATGGACAAGGCCCTGGTTTTAATCACCAATCCAACCACCAACCATCTACTATCTCCATCCACACATAACCAAATGGAGTCAGTACTGGCACAGGGACTGACACACAGGAAGAAGCTAAGTCTCTTCAGGAAGTGAGACCAGGCAGAGCAAGAACTGGGATCAGAACCCTTGGCTCCAGGAGGCCTAGTCTGTGCCGTTCCCAAAGCTCCTCAGACAGAAGGCAGCAGAGCCGGATTAAACCCTGGCATGGGTAAGTCTGATTCTACCTTCTTTCCTGCTGGTGAAAGGCAGACACTGCAGTTTCCCAACATGGAGCCTGTTTTCACCTGGGGCAGTTCTAGAGAAAAGCTAAGAAATCAAGCCACAAGACTCCTCTGCGGACTCCTATTTCCCTTTAAATCTAAATGTACCTGGCCTCATCTAGTGTCTTCCACAACACAACAGTCCCTCAGGGCAGGGCTCACATCTGTAGGACCCAACATTAGAGTAAATTCAGGATGGGAATTCAGTTCCAGATGTGACATCTCCTTGCCCAAACTCCAAAGGCTTAAAATTGATCTGCATGTTTTTAATTAGAAAGCTTTGGGGCCAAATGGTCAGATCTCAAAGGTGTTCAAAGGGATTGTACTTAAGCAGAATGCTGGTGAGTTGTTGTGCTTAAATGTTGCAGGGAAATAGCCTGTCACGAGCCTCAGAGTGGCAATGATGGCAGACATGAATCCACTTAAAATTTTGTGTGTAGAGGTTGGAAAAACAGTTTAGCAGTTAAGAGCACTTGCTGCTCTTTCAGAGGACCTAAGTTTGATGCCAGGTACCCACACAGCACCCTACAACTATATGTAACTCTAGTTCCAGGGTATCCAACACCCTCTTCTGGCCTCCATGGGTACTGCACACATGGGACAGACCAGGCAGGCACAATACCCATACACATAAAATAAAAGTAAATCTTTAACAAAAAACAAAACAAAACAAAACAAAAATCCACCCTTTAGTCCTTCCATGAGCTCTGGGGCATAATGACAATTAACACAGGTGCACAGGTGTTGTCTTCTAGGATGCAACTCTGCCTTCAGATGAAAGATTCTAGGAAAGGGAAAAAGAGCATGCAGGAAGACTCCCAAGGCCTCCAGCGGAATCCCAGCCGAGTCTGGAGGCAGGTGGGCAACAGACCTTGCTTTAGTGGGAATAGCTGGAGCCTGTGTTCTTATCGCCCTTTTTCTTGAGGGTCGTTAGCTGCCCATGAACCACCTCCACAGCTTTCTGCCTAATCCCTCCCTTCCTCCAGGGACCGAGGCTCCAGGAACTCTGTCCCCCTGCCCAGCCCCAGCTCCAGTCACTCACCTTAAAGAACTTATCAATTTTGCTAAGGTTGATTCTCTTCTTGGCATCCAGTTTGTAAATGTTACTGACATTTCCATCCATCAGGTAGAGGCCAAAGCCCATTACCTAGAATGAGAAAGGCCCACTCGCAAAACCATCACACCCTCAGAGCAGCTAACCAAAACAGAGGTCCATGACGCATGCGTGCACATGTGTGCAGGCACACACAAATTCACTGGTGTCTTGTAGAGACACATACACTGTTTCAAAATCATTAAATTAACAGGAAACATGGGCTTAATTCAACAAGAAATGCAACGTATTATTATAATAGCCAGTCCGGGCCTGGGGCTGTGGTTAGGGTTTAAGTGTGGTCTCAGTTCCCACAAAACTCTTAGGTACCATGTGCTATTGTGAAGATGAGGAGCAAGAGACACAGGGGTGAGAGATCTTGCCAGTCACACAAACGAGCTGCAGAGAATTATCTGCAAAGGGTTTAGCCCAGGATCTCCCATCCAAATGTGCACTTAGAGGTCCACTAAGATAGAAAGGACTTTGTTGTTTGTGAGAGGTGTCAAGACACAGACACTGGAATATTGGCCAATAACCATAAAAGTCCCCAGGAACACAGCAATGCAAAGGTTCCTGAGGAGTCATGGAGGACACTGCTTAAGAGCAAGTCTCTGCCTGAAGATGCGGATACTCTTAATGTTTTGGCCCATCTGCTCGTCCCTTTAGGTAACCGGGGTCATGGTCACCTGTGGAGACATAGGAAATCACTCCTCACCATGCCTTTATCACCCGGGGCCCTAAGGGATGAAGCAGAGGACTATCCCTAACAGCTGCTTCCTGCTTGGCACATCCTGTCCTGCAGCATCAGCACCAGACTGTCCTGTAAGAGTTCCAGCGCCCCCTGGTGGCACCTGAGCTCACTAACAAGCTACAGAGAGCTGGGCAACAGGACAAAACAATGTCAGCTGTGGGAGAAAGATTAGAAAGGACCTAAGCAGCCGAGGGCAGAACAACCAGCAATGCAACAGATTTCCCCTGTACGGTGCCATCTTATGGCTGCGTAACAGTCCAAACACATTTGATCACATGGGCTAGAAAGTCCACACACAGGCTGGTGAGATTTACCTCAGAGGGTAAAGGTGTTTGCTGCCAGGCCTGATGATCTGAGTTCAGTCCCCAGGACTCACATGGTGGAAGGAAAGAACCGCCTCCCACAAGTTGTCCTCTGACCTCCACATGAATACTGTGGTACACAGGTGTTCAGGTACATACATAAAATAAATACATCTTTACAGTTCCATATGTAAGGCTGGGCGTGGCGGTTCACAGCTTTAATCCCAGCACTTGGGAGACAGAGGAAGGTGGATCTCTATGAGTTTAAGGTCAGCTTGGTCTACACATTGAGTTCCAAGCTAGCCAGAGTTAAATTTAGTTGAGACCCTGTCTCAAAAAACAAAACTAAACTAAAAACAAAAACAAAAAACCCAGCCGGGCAGTGGCGACGCACGCCTTTAATCCCAGCACTTGGGAGGCAGAGGCAGGCGGATCTCTGTGAGTTCGAGGCCAGCCTAGGCTACCAAGTGAGTCCCAGGAAAGGCGCAAAGCTACACAGAGAAACCCTGTCTCGAAAAACAACAACAACAACAACAAAAAAAAAAGCCAAAAAAACAAAAAACAAAAAACCCACCAAAAAAACCTTCTACATTCTATGTCATTAAATATTTTGAAAATACATAAGCACAGGAAAAAATGACATACACCAAAGTATTGTCTCTGATCTGGAAGGAAAGATTAGAAGAGACCAAACATTGTTGTGCTGTCCTGCATCATTTAGTCTCTCCATAAGTATAACAGGAGCTTCATAATTTCAGGATGAAAACTGAAAACCACCAAACAATTTTGACTATTTTGACAAAACATGGACTCTGCCTTCCCTATCAGCTAGGACTTTCTCTTTTAGGAAGTTTAGCTCTACAAACTCTGACATCTGGGTTTTCAGTGCAGTCAAACATTTAGCCACAGGAGATGTGTGGAAAAATAACATCCCTATAAAACTGGCTTCTTGGCATCAACTAGGAATGGCATTGGAGAAACATCTGCAATGACGTTTTCAATGTCCCAGGGAGAGATCCCAAGTAAGACTGGAGTCACTGGCTGATACTTAAAAATATTGTTAAGTGTGGCTAAGGAGATGGCCCAGTCAGTCACGAGCTTGTGGCACAAGCATAAGACCCGAATTCAAGCTCGAGCACTCGTTTAAAAACAGGCATGGTGGAGCACATGTGAACCCTCAATGCTGGGGAGGCAGAGTCCAGCCAGTTCCTGGGCTTCATGGCCAGCCATCCAGGCCTAATGGGTGAGTCCTAAGTCCCAGTGAGAGACCACATGTCAGAAAAGAATATGGGGCTGGAACGACGGCTCAGTGGTGAAGAACAGCTACTGCCCTTGCAGAGGACCTGGGTTCCCAGCACCCACCCATATCGGGCAGCTCACAATAGCTCGTAACTCCAGTTCCAGGATATCTGGTGCCGCTGGCCTTCAAGGGCACCTGCACTCATGGGCACACACCCACACAGGCATGATTAAAATGATAGAAATAAATCTTTAGATGGCTCCTGAAGAATAACACCTCTGGTGTGTACACACACACACACAGAAGGAAGCAGTGTGAAGTTGGGGAAGTTTTACCTTGAGGAGCATGTGTTTCTCACTGGGTGTCAGATACATCTTATTCTCGTAGTAATCCACGCAGATGTTGACAATGTCTGCCAGCAGTTCCTCGTAACCTGGAATCACTTCCAGTTGCTGGTGAAGACACTAAACAACAGCGCCACCCACTGGTTAGGCTGAGCAAACATCCTCCTGCATCACCCAGAAAGCCCATGGGCTGGATAAAGGAGTACATTGGTTCCTACTGAGGAATCAGGAGGAGGGAGCCTTTATGCCAGCAGGTGCTGATACCTGACTCCATCTAAATGCTAGACAATAGCTGGTAGTTCCTGCTCACCTCCCACAACAGGGACTTAACCCCTTGGGCCTCCCATGTTAACCCTGCCTGGCGGATCTGAGGGTAGAGTGCCCTCTTGGGCAGCTCAGCTTTGCAGCCATAGGGCCTGAAGTAATTGCAGTTTAGTTTTAAGGGTGTGGCCTTCCCTGTGAGATTCCTTCAGGCAAAGGCAGGGAGAAGACCCACCCATCAGAAGGAATAAGAGTAGGTAGGTAGGTATCTCCTTGCTGGCAGGCCCCAGGAACATCAAAACAGTTCCTGTTAAAAAAGGTTTCTCTATAGCCCTTTTCCCCCAGAGAGACAAACTGGGTCTCTATGGGACACTCGGTTGGCAGCATTGCTGGAATTCCCTACAGACAGCAGGGGGCCGTGACTCCCTAGCCTTCTGAAGAAGGCTCAGCCACCTCCAGGCCTTTGAGATAGGGATAAGAGTCTGAGAACTCTGGGGAGCATCAGGGTCCCTCGGTGTTGGCCTGGGCTCTGCAGACACGCTTGTTGGTACTGAACTGACAGGGAGACAGGTCCAGCTAGGACAGGCCCACTGGGGAGAGGCCCCAGTGGATGCACTCTTGGCAAACCGGTGGTGGGGACTGCAACTGTGCCTTCCCAGGCTCTTGGTCATGTTCTGAGGGCTTTTTGTTCACACTTCATTTGTTTTTCAAGCTAGTCCTATGAGATATATTCTCATAACAGTCCCCAAATAATACAGCTACTTTATGGATGAGTAAACTAAATCTCTGACTTTGCCTGAGGTGGGATAATGGACCCACGGTAGGCTTGTTCTCAACCTAGAGGCTGATGTGGGGCCCACAGCCCTGTCTGGGAACCTTCCAGAGCACCAGACAGGGAGAGGTCACTGGCTGTAGCTTTACTTTACTCTCATGAAGGGCAGTGGAGACAAGCGTGGACTGAGCTTGTGTATGATCCCTCAGAGCCCTCTGAGCCTCGGGCTCTATCCTTGCTTCCTTGGCATGCCAGGCAGGAACCAACTGGGAACCTGTCCTCACCTGGGTGATCCTGTTGTGATTGGCCAGGAACATAGACAGGTTCTGAGACTCCTGAATGGACTGGGGGTCCGCCATCTTCCTTAGGAACTGGGCCGCTCTGAAACACAGGGAAGGAAGTGATAACAGGGTGCACAGGAGTCTGCTCTCAGCCTTTTACTGTCTCTTTTAGACAGCATCCTGATGTCAGGAGGCCCTGAGCAACACAGGTGATCCCAAGGTCGAAGGAAAACATGTTTGGCAGTCATTTCTCTGTTTATGCCCTCATGACAGCTGCTGGGAATTAAGGGGCAGGAAAGCAGAACACATCGCTGGAATCTTGGGACGTTTAATGGGACCCAGGAGGGAATGAGGAGGCAGGGAGTGGGCAGTGTCCTTGAGCCTGGCCAGGACCTCCAGGGAAGCTGTACAGTGAGTCCTGCAGATCAGTCCCAGGCAGGAAGTTTCGTTTTTCCGTGTGTTCTGGTCACTATAGGAAGATCTCAGCAGCCTATTTTGGGTCTGTTTGTAGTGCCAGGGATGGGATCTAGGGCACTGTGCAAGCACTTGACCTCTGAGCCATGTCTCCTACCTTTTTACTATTTTTCAGTTTTGAGACAGTGTCCTGCTAAGTTTTTCAGGCCGGCATCAAAATCGCGCTACAGCCTAGACCTTGAACTGTTGGAAACTAGCAAGGTTTACTGTCCTGTGCCGCTAGGTCCAGCTGATGAGTCTCCTGCCTCAGCCTTCCAGGGAGCATGGATCAAAGATCTGGTTTGACTTCAGCTTTCCCACGCACAGCACTGCAGGGCAATACAAGTGCCTCTGACCTCACTGGACGGCAGATGGAAGGAGGAAGACCAGAGACAGCACAGGCTGGTCTGAACTGTGCGTCCCAACTTAACCCAGCAAGGCACAGCTCAGGTCACAGTAACTTGTGAGAATGGGGACAACACTCCCGCATGGTTCGGGACACAGATGTTGGCTGTGGTCATGATGGGAGTGGTGGGCCAACACAGGAAGTGGATGGGGAAGGATGCTGCCCTGGGGGTCAACTGTAACATCTTGAGTTGGCCTTGAGATAGGCTCTAACTATTGGGCAACTCAGGTTTCACATCTGACCCAGGAGAATAAAATTGTGAAATTCAATCTGCCATATTCTTTCTCCTGATATCTTGAAACATGGGGAGGTGTGGCTCAGAGATAGGGTCATTCTTTGCCAGTGGTAGGGACAACCCTTCCAGGAAGTATGTACCCGACATTGTGGCACTCATCTGAGCCTCAACCAACTCCCAGAGATCTGTCTCTTTGCAATGCTTCTTGTCTTTACGTGGCTATATCCTGGCTTCTGGAGATGAATGACCCCCTCCCAATCCCAGTCCTTCTTTCAATGACAACAAGGACCTCTAACTCAGCCATCCATTCAGCTAATCTCCACTCCACTCAGTATCTGAGGGAGGGATTAGCAAGCTGGACTGATGGCAATCTTGGCTTGGATTTTTCAAATTCAAGTGGAAAGTGAGGAGTTCTTTCCTGAAAAGCTGGGGTTATGCCACAGGATGGCAGGAAGCCATTGCAGAGGTCTGTCTGATACAGAAGCCCACAGAGAGGCAGGTCCAGGGGAGAGGTGGTGAAGAGATCCAGGCAAATGTCACTGCTGGGGTAACTAGAGGAATGTATGCCTGGGCTTTGCAGATCTGGCACATAAGCATTGGTTTTCTGTCTCTCACAGAAAGTGATGATGTGATTGCGTTATGCTAATCTTTCTGCCACGAGGGAGGCATGCCGTTCCCCAGATGGGGAAGGGAGGACCCGATTCCTTCTTGGGACATCGAGCCTGGCCAACACCACTTTTTCTGAAGCCCCAGCTGGGAACCCTCTTCCTCAAACTACCCCGACACGGCAGCTGCGTTGCAGGAAGGCTACTCCGTTCCCAGGGAATCAGTCCGTCTGAAGCGCTCGGGGAGCAGGGAGGGCTGCTGACCTCTTGTAGGCAGAGTGGTCGTTCTTGACGCTGCACTTCATGTTCTTTAGCTCATCCAAGACTGCGAACATGTTGATGAACTTGCCCAGGGTCAGCAGGTAGGCCTCCGAGACAAAGTCCTTCCTGCGCTCGGCATGGCACAGCCGCTTCACCTCGCTACAGAAGCGCTCGATGGCCTTGCGCTGGAGACAGAGGGGCAGTGGTGAGGATGGGGCAGCCTGGTGAGCTGGGGTGAGGGGGCAGGGGCTCAGTGTACTCTTGGGTAGGAGCAGGTCAAGGCTCCCCTAGGATCCTTACTAGAGTCAAGGCAGTGCCGTGCCAGGTAGTCTTTTTCAGAGATGGCCCCGTTTCCAAAGCTAACTGTGACAGGGTGTTGGGACCCACCCATTCCAAGTGAGTTTATCTGATGAATTATTCCAAAACACATTTGCTAGGAGGCATTGTGTCCCCAGTGTGTGACATGCAGGGAGAGACAGAGGTTCATCTAACAAGCGACTGATAACTGCTCATCTACTGTACATCACATAGCCAGTCTAAGGACTAAAGTTAAGCAGAAGTCAAAACAAAAACAAAACCCACTCCAAGGATCTTATATGTCAATTAAGTAGCAGAAAACAAATTATTTGTGGCAGAATTTCATACTTGATATAGAAGGAAATGAAGAAGGGATGGAGGCTGGGAAGGGTTCAAAGGAACCGTCCTTCTGGAGAGAAAGACGGAAATCGCCAAGAAGTGACTTTTAGGGAAGTGATTTGAAAGAGAAGGAGAAAGATAGGGGTAAGTGAAGGAAGCATGAGTCGCCAGTGCAAAGGCCCTGAGGCATGTCAGGAGGGCAGAGGAAGGACAGGGCTTGGCTTGAGCTGGAGTGAGTGCAGGGAAGGAACCGTCAACACTGGAGGGGCCACGCACATTGCACATTCCGAGGCTCTTATGAGGGCTGTGCTTTGACCAGTGAGGTGGGCGGTCCTGGGGCTGTAGAGGGGTTGTGGAGGTGACGGCGGTGACAGGGGACTACAGAGCCAGTTAGGAAACTGCACATCTAAGGTGGAGTCCCTAAGTGACCCAGCACTCCATCGGCAGGAATCTGCTTGCCCTAGTTTGCTGTCCACTGCTGTGATAAACATCCTGACCGAAAGCAACCTGGGGAAGAAAAGACTTACTTCATTCATGGCTTACAGTCCACCCTGAAGGAAGTCAGGACAGGAACTCAAGGCAACAACCCAGAGGCAGGGACTGGAGCAGAGACCACGGAGGGTCCACAGCTTGGTCAGTTTGCTTACTTAGACAACCTAGGCCCACCTGCTAGGAGTGGCGTAGCCTACAGTGATCTGGGCCCTCCCACACTAATCATTAATCCAGAAAATCTCCCCCCACTTGCCTACAGGATAATCAATAGAGGACATCCATCAGTTGAGTCTCCTTCTTTCCATATGACTCTAGATTGTGTCAAATTGACAAAAGCCGAACACACAACCCAAGAGAAAGAGTCTATCAACAAGAAGCTCTACCCCACGTGTTCAGCTTGTGCCCCTAACAGACCTAAAGGGGAAAACACCCTCATCTATCATCTGGTGGATGGATGAATAAAATACGGTGCATGCGTACAGTGACGTGATGTTCCATTATTAAAACAAAACAAAACAAAACAAAACAGATTCTAACACCTGCTGCAGTGCAGAGGACACTCAAAAACATCCCACCAACGGCAAGAGGTCAGCCATGAAAAGCCATGTCCTGTATAACTTCATTTGCAGGAAAATGTCTCAACAGGAAATCCACAGAGATAAGGAGGAGTTGAGTAGTTGCCTGGGGCTGAAGGAGAGGATGCTGGGGGTGGTAGTGAGTGATGATGGCTCAAGAGATTTCTTTCAGAGGGTTAAAGATCTTCTAGAACCGATGATACGATGAACGCACACTCTGTGGAGACACTAAAGCATGCTGGGAGGTTCGCTCTACTTGGGTGAATCACAGGAGTAAATATTATAATCTCAAAAAAAGTCTGTTCCTGGTTTTGAAAGAAAGTAGTTCAAAAGCCAGGAGCTACTGTAATAACAGAGGGACGGTGAGCAAGAGAGAAGGAAGAGGAAGGGGAAAGAGGAGGAGGAGGAAGGAGAGGGAGAAAAAGAACACAGGAAGGGAGGTGTGAGGAGAGGATGCGCATGCAGATGTGAGCTCTGCTTCACTTCCGGGGCCTAACATGCCCACCTGCCATTTCCTGTCCCTCAAAGACCAGACCAAGCCAGAGTCTAAGACCAGCTGGGCTTTCTGCCATGGTGGAACTGTTCACCACAGCAATGCTCACCATAATGGTGCAACGGTTAATCTCAACTTTCAACTTGATGGGATGTGGGCTCACCATGGAACCCCTAGGTGTGTCTATGAAGGGCGTGTGTGTTTCCAGGAAGGCCTAACTGAACAGGGAGGATTTACCCTGAATGTGTAAGCGGTGTGGTATGACTCCCTGGACTTGGGTCCCAGACTGAGTAAAAAAGAGAAAGTTGGCTGAGTACCAGCATTCACCTCTCCCTCCTCCCTAACTTGGGCACAGCCTGGCCAGTGCCACATGCTCCTGCTGCCATGCTTTTATTGCCACGGTGAACTGTACCTTTAAACTGTGAACCAAGTAAGCCTGTCCTTCCTTGGGACTCCTGGAAATGCTTTACTAGGCATTTGACCCAGAAGTGAAAAGAGTAACTAATATGGACAGCCACAGTGCCTGCTGAGTGCTTGAAGTGAGCCTTGTATTGCTGAGGAGTTTCCTTTTAACTTATTGCTGTTTATACACAGTCAATGGGCATGGTGCTGGGTCCATGTCTACGAATCATTCCAGATCCTTCCTTCCATTCACACCTCTTGCTGGGAAGCTCTGCACTTCACACCCAGTTTCTGATGGCTCTTCTCTTTTGGACCTGCTTCCCAAAGAGACTTTTAGGCTCTGGGAAGTCAGGCCATCTATGATACAACAGCTGTGAGGCACTATAAACTAACACAGGGCGCAGCTGGCCGCCTGCAGGTAGATCTTGTGTGTGTGTGTGTGTGTGTGTGTGTGTGTGTGTGTGTGTGTGTGTGTGTGTAATGAGCACACACAGGGTCTGACCTGGTATATTCTTTACCCAGGCTGAGGGACCTCTCCAGTGCAGTCCTAGCTCTTGCCTAGATGCTGTGTACAGGGTGGACCCGGCCAGAGTCAAGAGTCCAGGAATGAAACTCGGCCCCTCAGGAGGAACATACATAGCGTGTGGCTTGTGCAAGCTAGGTCACCCACTGTGGGGTAGAGCCTGGCTTTGAAGTGTTCACCCTGCCGCCTTCTCGGCTGCCAATGAGACCCCCGCAAGTGACTGGCTGCTCACACTTCCTGTCCTTTCCCGCTACCCCCTAGCCGTCCCTGTCACCTGCCCTTCGTCCTCTAGAGAATGGCTCTTCCAGAGCTCCGGACTGGTCTCCTCCTGCTTGTCCCCGAGCTCTTCGCTCACAGCCTCTTCCAACCTCCACCTCCCAACCATTTCCTACCTATGGCCAGATGTCCTGAAGCCTCAGCTCACATCACCAAACCCAAACCTCAAGGCTCACAGCACCCCATCTAAGAGTCCCATCCCCGCTCCAGCACCCCCCCCCCCCGTTGGACCACTTCCTGGTTTGCTGTTCTACAGCCCCCTCTCTCCCTCTTCTCTATTTCCTGAACACACGGATTTCTACGAGCCTTGGGGCTTTGCCGGATCATCTTCCTGGAGTCCTCACCACACCATCACACTCCGGCCTCTCTTGTGACTAGGTCATAGTTCCACGCACTGTCCCTAAAGCGTCAATTCTCTCTGTGGCTACTCTGCAATCTACAACTGTTGTAAAGCATATTTTACTCACGGCCCTTACCATGTCCCAAAAACGACTGTGTATTTTTTGTAGCTCTGTGCTCCAAGCATACACATACTCACTGGGACACATCCTCTGTGGAGGCGGGGACACCTGTTGGCCTGGCTCACCCACAGGAACGTGGGTGGCTCTTAAAAATATCAGCTGGATGGAAAAAAACGACATGGCACCAGAGTCTAGGACATGGAAGGGTGGGGGTCTTTGTGAGTCTTCTGCTGTGGACCCCTCCACACCTCACTCACCTGAAAGTACATGAACTTCATGAGCTTGGTGACCTCTGGCTCCAGTACTTCCACTGTCTTCTCATAGATCTCTACCCGGTTGGGCTGTTCATTGCACTTTACCTGGGAATGTGAGAGGCAAGTTCATTATCCAGGCTCCCAGCTACTGTTCCTAACTCACGGCCTATAGTTCACACGTGACACCTTGTTGTGGGTGATAATGGATATGGTCACCCTAGTGAGAGGGTGCCGTAGAAGATGGACAAGCCCTAGAAGTGATCCCTGGAGTCTGGCTGCAGTACGGAGCCAGCTGGTCCCTCTGGGCCCTCCTTCCTTTCCTGTTAGCCTGTGCCCTTACAGTTGGCTCTGCATGTACCTATGGAGACCTGCAATGTCCTCTCCCCTTATCCTCATGCACAAGATGGTGAACTGGTCTGCTTTTGTTATGCCGTGTGCCTGGAGCACAGATCCCCAGCCATATCCAGGATAACGATGGCTAGCCAGAGCTGTGCCTTCCAGAGACCCATTTCCCCTGCCCAGTGCTTTTAGTCAGCATATAACCTTAGTACCACATGGCAGATGTTCTTTGAACACACACACACACACACACACACACACACACACACACACACACACACACACACACACACACAAAACCTGGCAACAGGATGGCTAGTTGTGAGAGTGAGCAAATGCATTATTGTTTTTTTTCTTTAGACAGTATCGCACTATGTAGCCCACACTGACCTGAAACTCAAGATCTTCCTGACTTGGGATTATAGGTGAGTAAGTACCATGTGCACGGGACAAGGACTATCTTTTATGGTTATCAATGGCACAATAACTGCCAGTGGGTCGTTACAAGGACACATGATACAATCGTATGCCACCATTACAAACTTTAGAAGGTGGATCTCTGGGAATCACCACGAAAAGTGACCAGCACAGCTGACAAGCATAAAAGGCCATAGTTAAATGTGATCTGATGCCCATTTTATATTTGTTTGTCTCTACACTGCTGGGGAGAGGCTCCAGGCTTTGGACCCCAAAACCTTGGGTTTGTTTAGCAAGGCTTTGCCACTGAGCACAACTCCAGTTTGGTCCCCTTTTCCAGAAAAAGAAAATGCTGAGGCTGGCCAGATGGTCCAGCAGAAAAACACACTTGCTTTCAAGGCTGATGACCTGCATGGAGACAGAGCCAATTCCTGCATGTTGTCCTCAGACGGCCGGCCACATGCACGCCACTGTACATGCATACCCTCCCCAGAGAGAATAAATAAATGTAATAATTTTTTTTTAAAAAGTCAATGGTTTAAGAAAAACAAAGTCAAGCTTAGAAAAAAATATGAAATGCACAAAATTGTTGGTAATAGCTGTCCCTAAATATGAGGGTTAAAAGAGAGATTGGCACCTTCTGTTTACTATATGCGCGTGAGGTTTGTTGATTTTGTTACAATGGGATCCACTAATTAACTGAAAATATCAATGGTAATAAAAATATCTGAGCTGGGCGTTGGTGGCGCACACCTTTAATCCCAGCACTCGGGAGGCAGAGCCAGGCGGATCTCTGTGAGTTCGAGGCCAGCCTGGGCTACCAAGTGAGCTCCAGGAAAGGCGCAAAGCTACGCAGAGAAACCCTGTCTCGAAAAACCAAAAAAAAAAAAAAATCTGTATTTCCAACAAGTCCAAGACAGTGTAAAAAAACGAGAAACAATATGGTTCTGTGGTCACAATATGGCTTTATAGACTATGTCCCTGCCAATAAGAAGATCCAGAACAGTCTGAAGCAGAGTGTGCCCAGTGATCATCCTGTGGCCGGTCGTGGGTTTGGGTGGAGGAGTGAGGAGATATCGTGTTTGCTACTTTAGACCCTTCGAAATGGCCTGGGTGGAAGGTGGCAGATGCTGCTCGTAAAATAAAATACTGGGCATAGTATGTGCTGGGAAACTGTTTTTAAGACCCTGGGGGTGTGGACCTTGTCATTAGTATTATGGGAAGTTCTTTGGGTCAGAGGCCCCGATTTACCTCCTGCCACCCAGAAAACTCAGCCCTCTGGTTTGGCTTTGCTTGGGCTTGAGAGGCAGTGACACCTCCCGGAAGGGCCAAAGAGGCGCAGCAAGGATGGTCTCACCTGGGGGATGGCCCGGGAGCAGCTCCGCCAGGTGTACAGCATCACCGCATACTCGTGTCCCTCCTCCAGCATTTCATTCTGAAACGGCAAAGCACTTTCAGCAGGGAGCAAGAACACTAGTACCACGGCCTTCTCAAGGCTCCAGCTACACCACCGACGGTGTGGTCTGCGGCCAGCAACAGCAGCATCCCCTGTGGGCTTGTTGACAAAGCTGCTTCTCCGGCTGTCCTCCCAGGCTGTCCGAGCCTATGATGAAGACCCTATATTCCAGGGAAGTCTCCAGGTAACTCACATGCACCTTCCAGTGAAGACTGATCTAATGTGAATTTCAATGAAAGCCCGAGGAAAGGCCACACATTCCGATTCCTTCAGATGAAATAGCCACGAGAGTTACAGCCTTAAGGACAGGTGGTGGTTGATGGGAACATGGGGAGAGAGAGGACCCGGGTGAGACTGCTGACAGTCTAGGGTACACATATGGGGTAATGGAATTAAGTGGTGGTGACAGCTGTATAATATTGTGAAGATGATTAAAATATTCACACATTTATTTTAAATGGTTTCCTGTTATGGAAAGCATACTTCAAAAAAATATTAGGAGAAAAGAATTAGTATTATGCTTCCTCTCCTTGTAAATGTTTGTATCTAGGAAAAAAATGAATTTTAAATTTTAACTCTATTTATCATATCCACTTTATAGTACATTATTAGGGTAGAATCCAATTTAATTTGGAGTTTGTTACTTACTGTGACTCTACTCAACAGCAAGGGTTTCAATTCTTAATTTAGAACTTAAGTCAGTAACATGCTGTCCCCAAGTTCAGAAACAACCAAACCCAACTGTGGGCCTCCTGCTTTCTCTTCTGCTTGGGAACATGTGTCTAAAAGGGGAACCGGCAGTAGTGTAGAGAACACGTGGCTGTGCTCAGCCCCCGAGTGCCCCCAGCAGGCATCATTTCACAGGGTTCACGGAGACTGCAGTAGTATCTTTAAGGCCCGGGCTCGCTGTCTGTCTGTCTGTCTCTGTCTGTCTCTGTCTCTGTCTCTGTCTCTGTCTCTCTGTGTGTGTGTGTGTGTGTGTGTGTGTGTGTGTGTGTGTG